CGAATGGCCTGACCAAGATCGTCAGTGAGCTCCTCCTCTGCCCCTACCTCTTCTTCAGCGGGCTTCTCCTCTACCCCCACCTCTTCTTCAGCAGGCTTCTCCTTTGCCCCCACCTCTTCTTCAGCTTCCCCCATTGCAGTATCATTGAATGCACCATATTCAGCAAAAATGTTATCGTCGCTCCATTGTTCTTCTTCACCTTCTTCCATTACAACTCCGGTTTCTCCGTTCTTCGTCCAACAAATATAGTTTGGCATGAAACCCAACTTGAACAAGTGTGAATGAAGAGTCTTTGAGTTAGCATATTCCATCGTATTCTTACATACGGCACATGGGCAGCACATGAAACCATCACGTTTGTTTGCCTCGGCCGCACGCAACAAAGAATGCACGCCGTCCATGAACTCTTGGGAGCGACGATCAGCATTGTACATCCAATGCCGACTCATCTACATTACATGACATAAATACCGTATTAAAACCTATAACATAATTAGTTAATTATATAATATGCATACCACCACAAAAGCTATAAATTTAAGAAAGCCTCGCTACAATGTAGACAATCCCAACTACCACTAAAAACACTAAAGCTAAAATGCACTTCAGCAGCACAAGGATTTCGCGACCAATCCCAACTAAAACAGACAGATCCCCCGTTTGTTCAACATCTTTGGGCTTCTTCGGCTGGATCACTGCCTCATTAGCCGTCATATCTGCCTGTTGTGCAAGATATTTTTGCACGAGTTCAACATACTCTTCCTCCTAGTAGAAGCCTGAACATCCAATGCCATCCCACTGAAATTAAAACAGAAAATTATAACTTTAATCACAACTATCATGAAAATAGGTATAAACTAACCATAGTCATTAAATATGATAAAATAACTCACATTGCGATCCGAACACTTGTAGAAAATGTGACCCTTGTTGGGACCTACCTTCTTCACTCGGTACTCCATCACAATTTTCGTCTCATCACAACACTTGCCGCATGCAATGAGTGGGAGGCCCGGCCTAAGTCGCTTTGGAAACCCATGAGAGGCCGAGGACCCGGAAGCAGTTGCCATCTACTCTCTATACTCATTTTTTAATACACTATAAATTTCTCATTTTATAAACAAATAAAATTAAAAAAAACTCTAAAATTCTCTATATCTCTAAACAATGAAGTGTGCTATGCATGCTACAAATGAACGGTGAATACTAGTTTTTAATAGCTACTTTAACCTTCCTTCATGTAAATATGCAAGCTTGAAGTGATTTTGAGCTTAAATTGCTTACAAATGAAAAAAAACCACAATAAAGAACCATATATATATAGTGAATAAAATGAGATAAGACAATGGTGAAACATGAGAGTATGAAGTTGGTAACCTTTAGAACCGAAGAATCGACGGAGGAATCGAAGAAATCGATGGAGGAATCGAAGAATGGATGGAGAAAGAGCAAGAACACTGCTTAAATTTGAACTGAAACTCTCGGACAGGCTCGGGGAGAAAGAAGACGACCAGCAGGATTTATAGGGGGGGCCTTTAGTCCCGGTTGGTGGGTCCAACCAGATCCAACCGAGACTAAATGCCACTTTCCAGTCTCGGGCCACGCCACTAGCCGGGACAAGAGCTTTACTCTCGGTTGGTAAAGGTCGACCTTTAGTCCCGAGCGCAATATTTTCCGAAACTAGAGACTGGTTTAGCCCTTGGATCAAAAATCTATTCTCTACTGGTGTTGGTTTCCTTGCTTAGACTTTTTGGGGATTGCGCTGGCCAGTTCTACATGGCTTCCGTAGGAGAGCCGAATCTGGGGTCTATTCGGCTGGTATTAAAGTCGACTGATAAGTCGACTGAAGCTGATTTATTATGAGAAAAAAAATACCGTACATTCTAACTGATAAGCCAATTCAAACGAACATGCTTTCCGAGCGGGCGAGATTCTCGGTTTCTGCGCCGGCGCAGCTACGGGAGGCAAGGCAGCGCTGGAACCAAACGCGCCCTTCCTTTCATGAATTGCCTTGCCTCCGTGCTTGGAGATTGGAGTAGCAAGTATTCACTGTAACCTGTCGCCTTGTCCAGTTGTACAGAGTACACTCACACATGAGTCACACTCAGTCGAAAAACTAACCGCGCAAAAAGAGAGGGAGCACGCGCGCCACTCAACGGTGAATGCCAGTACGCCACATCCGCTTCAACGCTTTGCACGTCCATGTACCAAAATCAGAGCAGCAGCAGCAGCAGGCAAGGGCAAAGAATCGTATTTCCGTCTTCTCCGCAGGGAAAAAAGAAGAAGAGAAAAGCTTGTTCCAGTGAAAAGCTAGCTAGCCGAGCACATCCACATCCACTGCGAGGGCGAGCGTGTACTGTACCTCTCATGTGTCGTTGCCGGACGCGTGGGGTCGGAGCGGCTCGCCGGTACTGATCGACCACGACTACTCCCTCGTGGCGGACTGGCGGCGCACATGTGGGGGACGTCGGCGCTCCTGTACTGCTGCGGCATGTATCAGGGTTGGCGTGGCTCGCCCTCTCTCCTCTGGTGGACAACGACCGATCCCCAACGTGTAGCTCGTGTTGTGGGACCTCTCTCCTGCTGTCCTGCACCGAGATCCCTCCTCTCCCGTGTCTGAGCTCCATCACCCGGATCTTCCTCTCCGACGATCCGCTCATGTCGCCGGACAAGATCGCCATTGCTGCACAGCTCAAATATCTGGAACACCTGAACCTTGCTGGATCTACTACAAGTGAGGCACATGCGATCGTTTTGGATCACGATGATGGGGATGGGGCTCAGACACAACGTGCACAGTGATCCGCTCATGTCTGCTCGGCTGTACTGGCTGCAGCTACAGTCAAAAAACTGCAGCTGCAAATATTAATTTCATCGTGATATCTTGCTTTCTCCGTTGGTTTTCCTTTGTGATTCCGATTTTTATTAATGATAACTTCTGTCTTCTTTCGTTCATCACTATATTAGTTTTGGTTTACGGATTGACTAGCGCTGGGACATTCGGACGTCCGCGGCTGCTCCACCCTGTCTGCTTTGATTCACGTGTCGTCCACGCCAGCTTCGTTTGTCGTGCTCACATCCGAACCGCACGCTTCCGATCCGCTGCCCACACTGCTCGGATGACTCGTCCCCGCCTCTTCCACACTAGCGCGGCGCATGTCTCTTCCAGACCGCCCGAAAGACTCACCCCCGCCACTTCCACAATAGCGCCGCGCGGCCTGTGCCTCCTCCCTACACCATCGACGGTGCCCTACGCCTCCTCTGTGGGTCGGTGACCGCGGCTTGGCCCTGCTCGCCCTCATGGACACCAACACCAGCGGCCTGCACTTGCAACATGAAACACTCAAATGCAACATACATTTGAAACAGATGAAACATTTGGGACATACGTTTGCAACATGTGTGTGAAACATATGCAACACCCAGATAAAACAATTGCAACATGAAAAACACTTATTGCAACAAAGACTGAAACATTTTGAACATACATGTACAACATATGTGTCAAAATATATGCAACGTCTAGATAAAAACAATTGCAGCATACGTTTGGAAATAGATGAAACATTTTGAACAAACGCTTGCAACATGCTTCTGAAGTACTTGCAACATATGCAACATGTGCAACATCCCCCGATCTACTTTTGCAACGTCCATAAGAAACAACTGCAACATGCCTTTGAAACGACTGAAACACCTGAAACATACATTTGCAACATAGGATAGGAGAAGCCTAGGCCGGTTGATTCCAGCCGTCGGGGTCAGGAACCGGCGGCAAGCGGCGGCGCAAGGGCACCACTGCCACCAGCACACCATTACCGGGTTTGGCTCGGCGGCGACGGTGGGGGATGTGGGGCAAAGAGTGCCATGGTCGCCGGGGTGGGATGGAGCTCGGTCGTAGGGGTGAGAGGAGGCACCGTGCCGGGGTGGAGGAGAGCCGCCCACTCCCCTGCAACACCGCCGCGCCACCTCCATGGATCTCGCTCGTGCTCCATGGATCTCGCCGGGGTAGGGGAGAGGACTGGCCGAATATGCGGCCGTTGGGGGCTCCCGGTGGGGGGAGGATGTCGGGCGTTGGTTGTGGCAGGGGATGAGGAGCATGGAAGGGGTAAGGGTGGAGTAGAGCTGAGCGAGGCATGCGGGAGTTGATTTGTTTTTTAGACGAGTGGCGCATGCGGCAGTGAGTGGAGCGAGGCGTCTGGCCTTCCGGACGTCTTAATGGTAGCATTAGCGTTTGGCTTATGGTAGTATGTTTTTTGTTCATCATAATTTTACTCGTGTTATTTTTTATTCAGGAATGAAAGAAAAGTTATTTTTGGTTAATGCAAATTTGATTTGATTTTAATACACGACAGTCATATTTTTCTTCACCACACAACTTTTTTTCGTGTTATTTTTTTCCTTGGCTATTGTTGATGTTAATTTTTTTGGTGCATGCTAATGTATTTTTTTTTTAATTTTTGTCCATCGTAGCAATTTATATATTATGCCAACAAGAATAAATAATATTTTTTGAAAGTTGTTTTTTTTTTTGTTCATCACGAAAATCTGTGCTGATGTCAGTAAAGTAGCGTTGCTGAAGTCAGCAAAGCCTCATCGTCTGCACTCTGGACTTCTGGAGGGATCATTCAGACGCCAAGAGCCCAAAACCCTGACCACTTGAGCAGTTGCAATTTCGCGCGCCCGGGAAAACGCGAGGCCTACTCAATCCTAACATTTTGAATTCGAGTCTTAGTCGTTAGCGTAACTGCGTTAGAGCGACGCCACCGGCCACCGCCTCAGCTGTCGGATCCCCTTCCCTCCCCTTCATCATCAATATATAGTTCATTGGTTTCTCCCAATCGCTTCTTTCCATCCCGATTCGCAATTCGCTCTCTCCGTGCTCTCCACTCGTCTTTCGATCCCGTCTCCTCGCGTCCAGATTCCGACTGCCTCTCCAATCTCGAGTTCAGATTCGCTCTCTCCCTGCTCTAGGCTCGTGTTTCGATCTCGAGTTCAGCATGTCTGCGGCGGCGGCGGCGGCACCGATGGCCCGCAAGCGTCCGGCACCGGACCAAGAACCGCTCGCCGCAGACGCGAACAAGCGACTGCGGTACAAGAATCTCAGGAACATCGACGAGTTCGAGGTATTCGAGGTGCTCGGGGAGGGCGCCGAGGGCGTCGTGAGCAGGGCGCGCGCGACTGCCGCAGCGGCAAGGAGGTCGCGCTGAAGTGGATCCGCGGCGATGGGCCCGACGGCCACGGGCCTCCCGACCGCCGCGCGCTCGCCATGGAGGCCAGCTGCCTCCGCGCGTGCCGCGGCCACCCATCGATTATCGGGATCGATGGCGTCGCCGCCGACCCCAAGACCGGAGACGTGCATCTCGTCTTGGAGTTGATCGAGGGCGGGTTGAGCCTCCGCGACTCCGACTACATGTGGAGGACCTTGTCGGAGGACGCGATCCGCGGGATGATGAGGCAGCTTTTCGGCGCTGCGAAGAAGGTACATGATCTTGGCTTCATCCATAGCGATATAAAATCTGAGAACATTCTTGCATTGTCTGCCCTCTGGGGAGCTCAAAGTGTGCGACTTTGGGTCGGCGACGCGGCAGAAGCCCGATGGGGAGCCGCATGAGGCCTACCCGTCGGGACGCTGCAGTACAACTCACCGGAGCTGCTCGACGGCAATTGGTGCTACGGCCCGGCCGTAGACATGTGGGGCCTTGGGTGCGTTATGGCGGAGCTTCTAAGTGGTGAGACTCTATTCCAGACCGAGAGCGAGTACGAGATGACTACCGAAATGTCCGAGTTGCGAGATAGGATGACCTCTGCTGCGGGAAAGCTCGACCCAGAGTGCGTGGCAAAGCTGTCGGAGGATGGGCGTGATGTGCTCACAGGCCTGCTGACCTTCTGCCCGGAAGAGAGGCTGACCGCGGCGGAAGCGCTTGAGCACCGGTGGTTCAGCAACTTCAAGGCAGCCTTGGATTGATGATTTTGCTTACTTTTTAGATGCTAGTAGCTGTTTCTTCATGTAGGATTGTAGTTCCACAGGGACGACTATTTCATTGCATTGTCGTGGTTTAGCTGATTCTTTATCTTTTATGACATTATTAAACAAAAATTAAGTACATCTGCTGTTTGAGTTACAGGTCTGAATCATCTGCATGGTGTTGCGCCTCCATTATTTGATCCACAAGGATGGCGGGTATGATTTTCAATAGGCATGGGTCACGGAGAAGCAGATGCAATAGAGCCTCGTCCTGTTTACATCATGAGCCAGGTTCAACATCTCTAGAATCTGAAAAATCTTAGTAATACTTAGCACACGTTTTTGTTGATTCACTTCCGACCTTTCTTACGAGCCATTGTTTTACCTGGTGTCTTATTCTTTTACCAATGACGGATGAAAGGAATAACTGAATCTTGCATATTGCTGAGCACCTGTTGAATATTTATGAGTAGTTTGTGATCCATCTGGGTGATGAGCTGAGTTTTAGCTTCCGGTTTGGCCTGTGGAATCGTAAAACCTGTCATTTGGCCGGGAGATTCAACAACAGTGCCCAAAGATTGCTTAGCGCCCTTATTTTTTCCCCCCAAACATGTACTTTTATCCTCATCTTTGATACGTAAACATGTTTCTCTGTGTGCCAAAATGAGGCAGGAAACATATTCTAATGAGCCTAATCAGTTACCTCTTGCTCTCATCATATAGATGTCCATGTCCATTGTCCATTACAAATGTTGCATAGCGAGAAAGAGCACTACTACAGCAATGTTTTCCGCGGCGGGCGAATTTGCTTTTGCGCAGCGGGCAAACGCGTCCGCCAGCGTGCGAAGGCCACGATTCCCGCGGTGGGCCGCTTTGCCCGCTGCGGTTAATCGATTTCCCGCGGCGGGCACGTTAGGATGCCCGCCGCGGTTAAACGTTTCAAAAAAACAAAAAAAACCCAGGACCCGCCGGCGAGCCCATTCTCTATGGCAGAATCTCCTAAGAAATTGGGTCCACGTGCATCTATCGTTGTCTCAACAGACCTTTAATAGCGTACACAAGTTCCCAACAAATTAACAGGTCTGTCGGGTGTCCTCGAAAAACTTGAATCATCCACGAATCTTTTCCAAACAGGATCCCAATCACAGACATTGCAGATTACAACAGTTTTTGATATACATATCAGAGATTATAAGCGAAAGACTTAAGTTTTAATATTACAAACCAGTTGTTTCAAACTTACAAAACCATAAGTGTCATACAACCATAGTAGCGGGATAATATTACATAACATTATTTTTCACACAAACTAGTGCCTTGTTCAAAGGCCATTCATCATTCCTCATCGTCATCGACTTCAAACACTGACATGCAGCAGGGACCAAAACAAGCCTGCGCATGCGACTCACCTGCAACAAGGGTTAACAAACCCTGAGTACAAAAGTACTCAACAAGACTGACCCGACGTAAAAGGGGCGAAGGTCTTAGAGATGCAGGTGTTGGAACAAGGTAAGGATGTAGCAAGATTCAAAAGTTATTTGCCAAAAGCTTACTATTCTTGATCCTATTGTCGAGTTTTACCTCTAAGTACTTTAGTTCATTATCTCAAACTAAGTGTTCATATCCCATGTTCCAATCCTTCTCATTCCATTCCTTTTCTCAAGGTTTAGTAATGCACCAGTCCTACATTGCTTCTGTAATGAATCGAGTCTCCATATCCGCAGAGCACCGGCAATTCGAATTGATTCAAGTCCCAGCTGGGGATTCCTTATCACACGACATATGTAGAACTTAATCTTGCATATATCAACCTCGCTACCGGATCCTCCTATACTAAGCCGTCTCCACGCCACCCGAGAGTATAGCACTCCTCAAATCTAGCCATATTCCAGCCACGAGGGTACACGCTACTCCCGCCATCTCTCCACTCCCAGTGCGTGGGCATTCGTCTTAGTATCGGATTAGCCGAAGTAGGCTTACCGGAGTATGTGACCAGTACTACAAAGTGTCTCGTTCAGAAGATCCACAATGAGTGGCCTTTAAGCGACATAGTCGGCGACATTACCCAACATTCAAGATAAGTCACCCGACTAGTCTCTAATTCATTCTATCTTCTTTCTTTCTTTCTTTGGCCAGTATGCTATCTTTGATTGTATCGAAACTTTTACTTTGAAAGCCTACCATAAAGCATACTAAGTATTCTACACCTTTGCAAATGAAATCATCTTCAAGGATGGTAAACAATTAACAAGGTAGGCAATGCATCAAGTAGGTAACATTTGAATTAATCAACTTAATGCAATAAGTAACATAGGTGATAAACTTTTCAAAGTAAACAAGGTAATGGTTTAATGCATAAACCGGGGCTTGCCTTCGTTGACGATCTCGGGTTCTGGATCAGTACCACAAATATCAAATCCCGAGACAACCGGGGACTCTTCCACAACTTGCTCAACTAGAATCGGTTCGCTCTCGAATTCTACACGACATAATAACATATGCTTCAAAATGATGATAATGTAAACATGATGCTTTCATGGTGCATGAAATGTAATAACACATTGAGTACAACTTTCCTTCACGGTACAGTTGCAAGCCAACAAAACTAACTTGCAATTCTACCATCAAGGATCACACAAAAAAATGTTTACTAAGAAACCCTACATTCTTCTAAAGGACTACCCTAAAGTTTCATTCCAAAGCTATGCTCTTAATGAACGAAATCATTCATTAACTAAACTCTAACCAAACTTTAATGACATAGGGCTTATGATCTAAGTGACTTGACCAAACTTATCTTGAAACCCTACTGGTCACAAAACATTACCAAAACAAGATCAAACTCTAAACCTAACATTTAGGGTTTGCTTTTATCCAATTTTTAATTAATTTGGAATTAAGCTCAAAAATGAACTTGTTCCAAATGACCTCAAAATTTTATTTAAGATTCCTCATGACAAATTAGTGTACCGAAATAAATTTCATAATTTTTGGAGTTATACAGTGCCCTACAAAAATTATGGAAATTGCATTTATCAATTAATTGCCTGAATTTTTGAACATTAAAATTTATTCAAATTTTAAGTTTCATATTTTTCCTAAATAATATTCATCACAGAGAGGTCACACAAAATGTTTCATAATTTTTGGACCTCCAAATAAACCTACACAAAAATAACAAAAAATAGACACTATTCATCCATTTCTGAAAATAGAAAAATTCCATTTGAAGCTGACATACGGGACCCACTTGTCATCCCTAAGCTTCGGCTTTGACCGCGACAACGACGGCGCTAAGCGACGCAAACTCGCCGCCGGTGAGCCCAACGGCGACGGCCAAAGCACCAAAACGTTCACAACGACTAGGCGCATCGATGTGTGGCACTACGAAGGTTAATGACGGCACGAAACACGGCCGACAGCGGCCATGGCGGATGTGGCAGCACGGCGATGCTACGCCGGCGGAACAAGGCCGTTAACGGTGAAACAAAGAGTACATGAAACATCAGTAGCTCACCCAGAACGTGTTGAAGCAACGAGCGAGACCGAAGAAGTTACGGTGACGCGGTTCGACGGTGACAGCGATCATGGCGGAGCAGACTTCATCGACGACGGTGTTCCGGCGACTGCAGTGGGCAAAACGACCAAGCAAGAACGGATTAAGCACCACCGTATCTAGACGAAGCTGTAGAGTCAACAAGCAAGGACAACGGCTCACCGGATGACGCTGGCCGCAGTGAAACGGAACTTCGGGTGAGGTCGCCGGCCGCGAGGAAGAAGAATCGCTAGCGGCGGTTCTCGGTGGACTCAGACAATCACAGTTGGTGGGATGGGTTCGCAAGGAGGAGACGGAGCTGGAACACTGCTTTGCCGAGACTGGCTTGGGCTGAGGAGTCGAGGGGAGCTCGACGGAGCTGAGGCGGCGGCGGCGAAAAACAGAGGAGAGAAAGGAAAGTCGACGACGGCGTCGGAGCTTTATAGCGCGGCCAAGAGAGCGAGGGAACGACATGCAGCGACCATCCCGTGCCAGCGCGAAGCCGATGGGGGCCACGGGCGTGTCAGGAAGACCGGAGAAAGGACGCCGGCGGTGGGGCGGTGGTCGTGCACTGTTCACCCGAATTACAGATTTGCCATCCGTTTCAAAATTCAAATTACTCCCAAATTTGTATAACAACTCAAAAATCTCCAAAAATAAAAGTTGTTCAAAATCAAAAGTTCTACAACTTTGCTTAAATGAACATT